GATTTTTTTATATAGAAAACAAATTAGTAATTTCAAATAATATTATTTTGAATATAAATAGAGAAATATAATAAAAATAAGATGGAATTAAATTTATTTAATCGAATTAATAAGAAAATATTTTACTGATTGATTAATGAAATTTATATTAGATTCTTTAATTAATTAATGCTTGAAATCCTAACAAAAAGACTATTATGTCCTATTTAAAAGTAAATAGTAAAAAGAATGACTTTGCTTTATAATAAATATCTGATTTACTTAAATTTTACTTATTAAAATAGAGGTTTTACAATTTTATTATTATTTATAAAAAACAAACAAGCAAAAGTATTAAAGCGGGCTAGATTTTAAGATGGATTATAGCAACGTAGAGTATATTAAAATTTAAGCGAATGATGAAAATCAATACTTCTTATCTAAAGATGTTGCCAACCTCTGCGGATAGTTTAGAGAGTTTATTAGTATATAATTAAACAATCCTAATAGGGGAGAATATATCACAATTACACTCAATATGGCTGGACCAGTCATTGAAACTATAATATAATATTTACATTACAAGTATAAATATTTAAGCGCAGATGTTAAAACAATACCAAAATTCGATATACAACCTAGCCTTGCCTTACAAGTGCTAAATGCTTCAATAGAGCTGAATATTTGATTATTTAAAGCATATTTTTAAGATAATAATTTAACATTTATGCATAAAATGTTATAAAATAATGAGTAATTAATTGATCATATTTTTGTAAACTCTTTGTTAGGAAAAGTATTCAAAAATGTAATAAATAAAGAAATAATTAATCCTAAATATAAAAAAATTAATATTTTATTTAAAGATTTTATTTTCTTTTTTCATTTGAAAAAGGAGCATTTTATTTGTCCATTTATCAAAACAACTATTTCATAATTGCTTGTAAGTAATTGTTAAAAACAAAAGCAAGTAATCTAAAAAACAAGAGTTTGTTTGTATCAATTTAAACACTATTTAATTAATATTTATCAGTCACTTAATATATTTTGATTTAGTAAGTAATTATTATTTATTTTGATTTATTAATTAATTAATTTATTTGTTTAGTTTAAAACTAAGTGTAAAATTTAGATAGAATACGTTTCTTAGAATACTGCAAACAGAAATTAGAGTTTATTATAAAATATTTTAAATTAGACAAGTTAGTTGACGTTAATGAGTGAAGAAAGAGATAAATAGCTGAAATAAGAAGAGAATGATTTAATTACATAAATAGACCGCTTAGAGAGGGGAATAGTTTTAAGAGAAAATTAAATAAATTCAATGAAGTCTATGATGATAGAAGTTAAAGCCTAAGTTTCTGAAGCAAAAATGAAATGCGATCAATCTGATTTAAATATAATTTAGCTAAATAATTAAATAAAAATAAAGGATCAAGATCTTAAGCAAGTATTGAGAGATAAAGAGTTACTTTTTTCAAAATTGCAGACATTAGAAAGAGAATGCGATAAAGTTAAAGAGTCAATTGAAGAATTGAAGCATTAAATCTGATTATTTTTAAAAGAAATCATGAAAATTAAAATAGAGCTAGAATATAAATTAGTTTAATAATTAATATAAAACCTTTTTGTAAATAGAATTTTACTTTATATTAAAAAAGTTATTGAAGATTTTTGAAAAGTATTAAAAATATGAACTTCATAAAATTAACAAACAAAAAATCAATAAATCAATCAAACAAGCAAATAAACAAATACTTAATTAATTATGATTGTTATTATGACAAAAAATATCATTTTAATAAAAGATTATCTGATTCCAATAAAAAAATTAATTGTCTTAAATAAAATGTTTATTTTTTAATTATTTTTACATTTTTAATCCTCTTTTAAAAAAGAATTTATTTGTATCTATTTAATTTAGTTTCAAAGCATAAATCGTAAGATATAGAAAATAAATAAATACATTAAATCATGAATATCATAGAATTTTGTTGTAAAAATATGAAAAATGAGTCATTTATAATTATAGTTACTTTTGATAAAAGAAAATAATAACACTTTTTGATACAAATTATTATGAATAAATAAATAAAAAGATAGTAAAAGACAAATTTCAAAGCATGAAGGTATAATATGGATTATCTATATTATTTCATATAAAACCATAAAATAGTTAACTTATTCGATTTCAATTTATATTATTGGATAATTTATTTTTAGTGTATTTTTAAGAATAGTTTTTCAAATATGTTTTATTTTATTTCAAAGCATATAAAAAGAGTAGGATAAAGTAAAAAATCAATAAAAAAAAGCAATTACTGCAATAGATTTTCATGATAAAAATATGAAAATTATTAATTTATTTTTATACTTATTTTTAATAAAACAAACAATAAAGCATTTCATAATCCAAATTGATATACTTTAAATCCTCACCAATTGTGGCCAATTGAATTAAGGCCAAAAATGGTAAAAATAAAAAATTTGTACCTTGTAGCAGCTTTTTCCAAGTCTAACCTACCACTTAGCCACCCCCTCCTCAAATATTTAACAGAATAATTTGAGTTAAATAAATTAATTTTATTAAATATTTAATAAAAAATTTGACTAAAATAATTTTGGATAGATATTAAAATAAAATAAATTTTTAATAAATATTAAAATATAATTAAAAAGAATAAAGTAATCAATAAAATGGTGGAGAAATTTCTGAAGATGAAGAATTACTTAAGAATGAAAGATAAAAAAGTATGAAAATAGAAAATAGCTGTTAAGAAAGCAATAGAGAAGAAGCTAAATAGTAAGATGAAGAAAATATAAAGTGTGAGGATGGAGATGAAGAAGAAGAGGAAGACAACAGAGGACACAAGGCTAAGGTTAGGGCACAATAATTGATTCAGTATTTGAATGCTACTTAGCAAGATATAAACAAATCTATAGCAGAATTTAAATAGTTTTTACTCTCTACGTTGGGTATTGAAGAAATATGTTTTATTCCAGTTATACATTGTTCTTAGGCATATGGTGTTGTTTTTAGGCATAAATCAGGGGTTAAGATAAGTTATTCTGGAGATACAAGACCATGCTCTGAATTTGCTAAGGTTGCTGAAGGATCTGATTTGATGATCCATGAAGGTACATTTAACAATGATTTATTAGAGCATGCAAAAAAAGCAAGACACTCTACAGCTACAGAAGCCATTGAAATAGCAATGTAAGCAAAAGTTAAAGCCTTAGTTTTAACGCACTTGTCTAAAAGACATTCAAAATTAGATTTAGGAGATTTTTAAGATTAAACTTTAGAAAAAAATAGATTTATCAAATACCAAACAGCGCTAGCATTAGATCATTTATAATTTAAACTGTCTGAGTTCTACTCTTTACCATTTATTTCAAAAGGTGTGCATTCTATCTTCCCAGATTAAGACGAAAAATGACTTTAAAAAATAAAATTTCATATTATTTTTATGTTTAATGTAGATTACTTGAATGAATTAATATTTTTGAGAATATATAAATATCTGAAGTAAAATTAATATTTAATTATTTATAAAATTTACAATTTAATTATATAATTCATTAGTTTATTAGCATTTATTATTTCACAAAGCAAATTGCTTCTATAAAAATTTTTAATCTAGCGAAATTTAATATCTTTAAAATATTTGATTGCTTAAATTCATATCTTTTTGTAAAATTAAAATTTATTTTTTTTTAGAACTCTAAAATTAAAAAGATGAATGAATTAATTCCTTTTTACTTAATATTTCCATTTTACAATTAATCATTTACTTGTTTTAGGCAGAGCTAATATCAAATAATTATAATTGATTTGTAGGCAAAAATAATTATCAACACACAACAAAGCTATTACGAATAAATTAAATGTGACAGTAACTTTAAAGATTTAAGTGTAGTTTATTAAAAAATTCAACATTAAATATAAAATTTCATTCATTCTTTTTGGTTTAATTTATATCTTTCTGTACGATTAAAATATATTGTTTTTATAATTTTAAAATCAAAAAAAAGATGAGTTAATTCCTTTTTTCTTAAAATTTATATTATTTACTTGTTTTAGGCAAAATTAATATTATTTAATTATAATTGTTTTTTATGCAAAATAATTATCTACACACAATAAAGTTATTACTAAATTTAAAATTTTAACATTATATTAAATGATAGATTTTGATTGTATAATTTATTACGAATAAATCAAATGCCATTAAATTAAAAGATTTAAGTATTGTTTATTAAAGAATTCAACATTAAATTTATATTTTCATTCATTCTATTTGGTTTAATTCATATCTTTTAATAGTACTAAAATTTATTATTTTTGAGAATACTAAAATTTATTATTTTGAGAATGCTAACTAAAATTTATTATTTTTGAGAATAATAAAATTAGATAAAAAAGATGAATTAATTCCTTTTACTTTTACAATTAATTATTTATTTGTTTTAAGCTAATATCATTTAACTATAACTAATTTATAGGCGAAAATAGTTATCTATATACAACAAAGTTATTACAAAATTTAAAATGCTAACATTAATTATATCAAATGATAAATATTAATTGATTGTATAATTTATTATGAAAATATCAAACACTATTAACTACTAATTAACTAACTTAAAAGATTTAATTGTTTTTTATCAAGAATTCAGCATTAAATATATATTTTCATTCATTCTTTTAAGTAGTTTCTTCTTATTCTGTTAATATTAATTGCTAGTTTGAGCTTTCTTAAACTAGACCAAATTCAGGATTCTCTTTTTAATTTATATTTTATTATGAAATTTATTATTATTGTTATTTGTTTTGTTAATTATTTTATATGATTATTTATTTATTTTCAGCCTCTTTAAGTTGTTCTTGCAAATTTGCAGATACTCCCAAACTTTGCTGATTTTCAAATTTATTTTTAGATGGATTAAAACTGAAGCTACTTTAACTACTTTTTTCAGTTTGCTCAGGACTATGTTTTAATTGGTAGTTATTCTTCTCTATTAAATCTATGATTACTTAATTTGAAGAAACATTCGATTATCTGTTTAAAGGCTCTTAACTTATTTAAAATAATTCTTACTGGTAGAGATGCTCGAAGCTTTCCCAATAGCTTGCTTGCATTTCTCTTAAGAGTTCATTTTATGATTTACCTTTTTGCAAATTATGGACAGATGTAAGGAACTGACGTAATCGATAAAAATACTCTTTCCTAAATCTCTAATCATTTTCAATTGTATTATGGTCAGCGCCTTAGAATACTTGTTTAATGTAAGGAGTTGATTTTTTAACATTACTGATGAGATGCCACATTTAAGAGACAGGGACTATTTAGTCTTAATCGCCATGCATAAAATAAATAGGACAATTAACATATTTAATCATCTAAAAATTTGGAAAGAAGTCATATTTATTAAGACCATTTTGCTTTTATTTTTTTCTTGAAGGTTATTGTGTTGGTTGTACGTTTTATTCAAATAATGAAGCTCTTAAAGCAGGTGAACTTTGACCTGAAAGATTGCTTAGATTAGAAGAGAAACTGCTATCGTTTTATTCTGAACATGTTTCATTCATTTAATCAGAGCAAATAAATTCATTTTCTTACTTAAAAAAGATTTTTAAACCACTGCTAAAACTTGAATGTAAAATAAGTCCTCCAATTGGCCTTTCTCTTACAGAAGCTAAGAATACACAAGGACCAGTTCCTATACTTTAACCATAAAGGATAATCTGCTACCAAGAATACTTCAATCCTTCAACAGCAAATTAATATACACTAAGAATATTCTGAATCATCTTTTGATCTCCCATTTTCTGATTAGAAGCCAAACCATATCCGCTATAATCATATGCAATCAAATCCACCCTAAGATTTTAAACTAAATCTAGATAAATATCCATCATATGTCCCATATCAGTTGAATTTCCATGAGAATGTATAACTACGAAATTTCTATGAGCAGCTTTATTTAAATATCTCAGGTGGACAACTGGTAGAAATTAAGCTTTTTCTGATTAATATGTCGCCTAATTGAAGCTTAACTGTTACAATTCAGCTGGTATCTTATAACAACACACATTAATTTCGTCTATATTTTAAATTGCTTAACCTTCTTATTCATTGTTATCTTTAAAAACGAACTAAAACTATTTAAACTTGTTTGCACTATTTTGCGAATCATTAATAGGGAGAAAATCATAGCTGCATTTCGGAGGAAAAAACGCATGGTTATTTATCAAGCACTTCCTAAAACCACAAGAAACGCATAAATTGAAGCAGCATAATAAACAACTAAGTTTGCAGCTCATTTTATTTATGCGTTTTAATGAAATTGAATAATACTTCTATAAAAACTATTTCCTTATTTAGAGTTTACTTAAAAACTGTGTGCTATCTATATATATATACTTCCAATTATCAATTTATTACTCCCACCAAATAATTCTAATAAAGATCTCATCAAAAAAATCAATTTTACTAAATTAGTCTATGTTTTTTCTTATTTGGTAAATACAAATAAGCTTAACTTTTATTTATTTCATCCAATAACAAATAAACATAATAATTAACACAAACCCATTTTTTATATTTACAATTAATTATTTATTATTTCATTAAATAAACTAAGATGATAGCTTCAACTCTTCCAATTAAAATCCTAAAATAACTAGTATGCCACCAAATTCTTCATTCTAAATAAACACGTATTTAATTATATTTTATTTCAATAATTATTTTAAAGTCCTTCTACTTTCTACTGAAATAATCTCAAATAATTTTAGTAAAATTTTTAATATCTTTTTAAAATTTTATAATAAAAAAAGTATTTGTTAAAAAAAACTGCCAAAACAAAATATTTTTCTATTTTTAGGTTATAAAATTAATTATAAAAAGAAATTTTATAAACTTTAATTTTAACAAAAATTCTAATTTAAAATTAAATAATTTTATTATTATTTTTTTTTATTGATGTTGAGAAAAAAAAAATTAGTTAAATTAAGAAAGATAGAAGAAAAAAACACAACTACAATAAAAAAGAAAAAGAAAAGTAAATCAAATAAATAAAAAGCTATAAAAAAATTAAAAGAATTATCTTGTTTTTGAATCATTTTTGTAAGTAAAAATGTCACAATCCAAAATAAATAAACTTTTTTACCTAAGACTAAGTATCAAGTTAGAGAGATTATTGCAATTTGCTAAAGCAGAACCTAAACCTGATGCACCAATTGCGCAAATTTAATTTTTACTATTTAAATAATAAAGTAAAAATATAAAATTAATGAGTTATTTAGAAGGAAAAAATGAAGAAAATATATGAAATAATAAGACATTAATTAATAAATAATAATAACAAATGCCAAAATAAAAAAATGAGTTAAATTAAGAAAGAAGACAAAAAAACACAAGTAAAATAAAAATAAAAAGAATAGAAAATCAAATAAAAAGCTTTTAAACAATTTAAAAGAGTTTTATTGTTTTGAATTCATTTTTTTAAGAAAAAATATCACAATCCAAAACAAATAAACTTTTTTTTACTCAAGATAAAGTGTCAAATTTGAGAGATTAGAGCAATTTGCTAAATCAGAACCTAAGTTTGATGCACCTTAATCACCAATTTAGTTGTTACTTTTTAGATATTGAAGTAAAAATAAATAATTAATAAGTTATTTAGAACGAAAAAATATGAAATAGTATCAAATGAATTAATTATTAATAAAAATAAATGTTAAAAATAAAAATAAGTTAAGAAAGATAGAAGACAAAAGAATGCAAATAAAATCAAAAAGAAAAGGAAAAATAAATCAAATAAAAAGCTAATAAACAAATTAAAAGAGTTATCTTGTTTTAAATTCATTTTTTAATCACAATCTAAAACAAATTAACTGTTTTTACTTAAGACTAAGTGTCAAATTAGAGATATTAGTGCAATTTGCTAATGCAGAACCTAATTCTGATGCACCAATTACATCAATTTAATTGTTACTTTTTAAATATTGAAGAAAAAATATATAATTAATTAGTAATTTAGAAGGAAAAAATGAAGAAAATATATGAAATATTAAGAATTTAATTAATAAATAATAAATGCAAATGTTGAAAATAAAAAATGGGTTAATTTAATTTAGATAAAAGACAAAAAACACATGTAAAATAAAAAAGAAAAAGAAAAGTAAATTAAATAAAAAGCTATTAAACAAATTATAAGAGTTATATTGTTTTAATTCATTTTTATAAGTAAAAGTATTAAAATCCAAAATAAATAAACAGTTTTTATCAAGTAAAAGTTTTATAAGGAAAAAAATGAATGAAAATACCAAACAATAAAAAATGGATAATGAGTTTAACAAATTTAAATTTAAAAATTAAGTTATAAAAATAATTTGTATAAATAAAATGAATAAAGGCAATCATTTATATTAGAAAAATAATATTTTAATAAACTGAAAGTTAAATATATAGAAAATAATATTAGTATTTATAAAGTAAATATACTTTAGATTAATATGGAGAACCTAATGAGATTAAAGTGAAGAATTTATAAACTTTTTATATTAGTAAAAATAAATTTAAAGAATATTGATAAAAAATAAATAAATACTTCTTCTAATTTTTTATAATGTTTAGTCTATTATATCATATATTTTTTTTCTCAAAAATATTGAAAAGCAATTAATAGAAATTTAATTAATTTTTGCACAACCAAGTATTGAATTCTTATAGATGTGGAGAATTAAGAATTTAATTTTTGATTTGCTCTTAAGTGGATTTATTAATTAAATAATTTTATTTTACTTTTTATTATAAAATATTTATTTTATAGTTTTTGAATATAAGTACCATCAATCCTCATTAATTTTCGCCAATCCCATCCCCCTTAAAATTATATGATATCACTGAAAATATGTATTAATTAAAAAATTTTTAATTAAGATTAACTGCAATATTTAATTCTACTATATTTATTTTTAAGAATATGTTTTAAATAAAAAATTTTAATATGAATTAATGAATATTAAATTTATTTTTTTGTGGTATCTCTTCATAAAAGCAAATTTATAAATTAATTAATTATTATATTTATTTTTTCTTTTTATCCTTTTATATAATTGATCCCCAAAAGTATAAATTGCCTGAATTAGTTGGATCGACCTTAAATTATGTGATTATTGGGAGAGAGGGTGTTGATGATCCTGATTAATTAATTAATTAAATTCCATAAATTGCTATTCAAAATTTTTGAAGAAAAAAAAAATGATATAATAGATTTAAAAATAAAAAGAATTAGAATAAGTAAATATTTATTTTTTTATTATAATCATTTAAGTTTATTTTTATTTATAAAAAAAGTTTTTAAACTCTTCACTTTAATCTCATTAGGTTCTCCATATTGAGCTAATGTATATTTCATTTTAAAATATTATAAAAATTTTTTTATTATTTAATTTTCAATTTATTTAATAAAATAATTTTTTTAATAGAAATTTTCATCATTATTGATTGATTTATATTAAAACAAACAAAAATTTTTTAGCTATTTAAACTAATTTTCATTTTCATTTTTTATTATATATTTATTATTCATATTTAATAATTTTATATTTTTTCTTCATTTTTTGCTATTAACACTTCACAAAATAGTTTATTTATTTTGGATTGTAATATTTTTAATTATAGAAATTAACTTAAAACATAAAAGCTCTTATAAATTTGATTTATTTTTCTTTTTCATTTAATTTTACTTGCTTTATTTTTTTTTCTTTGTTATTTTAATGCATAATTAATAATTCTTGTTTTTTAATATTTTTTCTTCATTTTTTCCTTCTAATTAACTAATTGATTGTTTATTTTTTCTTCAATATTTAAAAAGGCACAATTAAATTAGAATATAAAATGTACCAAGATTAGTTTCTGCTTTAGCGAAGTGCGTTAATCTCTCAAATTTGACAATTAACCTTTGGTAAAAGCAGTTTATTTATTTTGGACTGTGATATTTTTATTTTTAAAAACTAAATTAAAACAATATAGCACTTTTTTGTTTTTATTTATATTGTACTTGCTTTTTTTTGTTCTTTCTTAATTAATTTTAGTCATGATTTTATTTTCAATATTTGATTTTATTTTTAATTAATCTTATTATTTCATTATTTTCTTCATTTTTTCCTTCTAATTAACTAATTAATTGTTGCTTTTTTTCTTCAATATTAAAAAAGGCCCCATTACATTGGAGCAATTGGTACTTTATCCTTAGTTTCTGGCTTAGAAAAGTGCGTTAATCTCTCAAATTTGACACTTAAATTTGAGTAAAACCAGTTTATTTATTTTGGATTGTGATATTTTTATTTGTAAAAACTAACTTAAAACAATAAAGCTCTTTTTTCTTTTTATTTATTTTGTGCTTGCTTTTTTTTCTTCTTTCTTAGTTAATTTAACTCAAAATTTTATTTTCAATATTTGCTTTTATTATTAATTAATAAATCTTATTATTTCATATTTTTCTTTCTAATTAAATAATTAATTATATATTTTTTCTTCACTATTTAAAAAGTGATAATTAAATTGGCGATGAAGAAGCATCAAGCTTAGGTTCTTATTTAGGAAAGTGTATTAATCTCTCAAATTTGACACTTAGCCTTGAGTAAAACCAGTTTATTTATTTTGGATTGTGATATTTTTATTTGTAAAAACTAACTTAAAACAATAAAGCTCTTTTTTCTTTTTATTTATTTGTGCTTGCTTTTTTTTCTTCTTTCTTTGTTAATTTAATTCATAATTTTATTCTCAATATTTGCTTTTAATTTCATATTTTTTCTTCATTTTTTCCTTCTAATTAACTAATTGATTGTATATTTTTTCTTCAATTTTTAAAAAGGTACAATTATTTTGGTTATAAAGGTGCATCAGGCTTAGGTACTGGTTTAGCATAGTGCATTAATCTCTCAAATTTGACACTTAATCTTAAGTAAAACCAGTTTATTTATTTTTGATTGGATATTTTATTTGTAAAAACTAACTTAAAACAATAAAGCTCTTTTTTCTTTTTATTTATATTTTACTTGCTTTTTTTTGTTCTTTCTTAGTTAATTTTACTCATCATTTTATTTTCAATGTTTGCTTTTATTATTAATTAATCTTATTAATTCATATTTTTTCTTAATTTTTTCCTTCTAATGAACTAATTAATTTTTTATTTTTTATTCAATATTTAAAAAGAGGCAATAGAATTGGTGATAAAGGTGCATTAGGCTTAGGTTTTGAATTAGCAAAGTGCATTAATCTATCAAATTTGACACTTAACCTTGAGTAAAACGAGTTTATTTTTTTTGGATTGTGATATTTTTATTTGTAAAAACTAACTTAAAACAAAAAAGCTCTATTTCTTTTTATTTATATCTGCTTGCTTTTTTTCTTCTTTCTTTGTTTAAATTTCATTTTATATTCAATATTTGCTTTTATTATTAATTAATCTTATTATTTCATATTTTTCTTCATTTTTTCCTTTTAATTAACTGATTAATTAAAAATTTTTTCCTCAATATTTAAAAAAAAGGAAAACTTAAATTGGTGATGAAAATGCATTAGCCTTAGGTTCTGGTTTAGCATAGTGCATCAATCTCTCAAATTTGACACTTAAGCTTGAGTATAACCAGTTTATTTATTTTTACTTTCTTTTTTTTCTTCATTCTTAGTTAATTTAATTTTCATTTTATTATTTATTAATTTTATTAATTCATATTTTTTCTTCATTTTTTCCTTCTAATTAAATAAATAATTAATTGTATATTTTTTCTTCAATATTTAAAAAGAGGCAATAAAATTGGTGATAAAGGTGCATAAGGCTTATGTTCTAGCATAGGAAAGTGCATTAATCTCTCAAATTTGACACTTAACCTTGAGTAAAAGCAGTTTATTTATTTTGGATAGTGATATTTTTATTTGTAAAAACTAACTTAAAACAATAAAGCTCTTTTTTATTATTATTTATATTGCTCTTGCTTTTTTTCTTATTTCTTTGTTTAAATTTCATTTTATTTTCAATATTTGCTTTTATTATTAATTAATTAATCTTATTATTTCAAATTTTTTTTTCATTTTTCCCTTCTAATTAACTAATTAATTATTTATTTTTTCCTTAATATTTAAAAAGCTATATTTAAATTGGTGATGAAAATGCATCAGTCTTAGGTTCTAGTTTAGCATAGTGCATCAATCTCTCAACTTTGACACTTAGCCTTAAGTAAAACCAATTTATTTATTTTTTACTTGCTTTTTTTTCTTCAGAGAATAATTTAATCAAAATTAACTAAGTTAGCTTAAGCAAACTTTAAATTAAAAATAAAGTTGTAAAGATAGATATTCAAATTAAAATCTATATGAATATTAAACAAGTACAATTGAAGAGCAAAACTATGATTCTAAGTTAATTTAACTTTCATTTTATTATTAATTAATTTTATTATTTCATATTTTTTCTTTATTTTTTTCCTTCTAATTAAATAAATAATTAATTGAATATTTTTTCTTCAATATTTAAAAAGGTGCAGTTAAATTGGTTATAAAGGTGCATCAGACTTAGGTTCTGGTTTAGGAAAGTGCATTAATCTCTCAAATTTAACACTTAATCTTGAGTAAAACCAGTTTATTTATTTTGGATTGTGATATTTTTATTTATAAAGAATAACTTAAAACAATAAAGCACTTTTTTCTTTTTATTTTTGTTGTGCTTGCTTATTTTTCTTCTTTCTTTGTTAATTTAACTTTCATTTTATATTAAATATTTGCCTTTATTATTAATTAATCTTATTATTTCAAATTTTTTTTTCGTTTTTTCCTTCTAATTAACTAATAAATTATTTATTTTTTCTTCAAAATTTAAAAAGTTAAAATTAAATTGGAGCAATTGGTACACCATACTTAGTTTCCGGATTAGGAAAGTGCATTAATCTCTCAAATTTGACACTTAACCTTGAGTAAAACCAGTTTATTTATTTTGGATTGTGATATTTTTATTTGTAAAAACTAATTTAAAACAATAAAGCTCTTTTTTGTGCTTGCTTTTTTTTTCTTCATTCTTAGTTAATTTAACTTTTATTTTATTTTTAATATTTGTTTTTATTATTAATTAATAAATCTGATTATTTCATATTTTTTCTTCATTTTTTCCTTCTAATTAACTAATTGATTGTATATTTTTTCTTCAATTTTTAAAAAGTAGCAATTAAATAGGTGACAAAGGTGTATCAGGCTTAGGTACTGGTTTATCATAGTGCATTAATCTCTCAAATTTGACACTTAGCCTTTAGTAAAACCAGTTTATTTATTTTGGATTGTGATATTTTTATTTGTAAAAGCTAACTTAAAACAATAAAGCTCTTTTTTGTTTTTATTTATTTTGTGCTTGCATTTTTTGTTCTTTCTTTGTTAATTTAACTTTTCTTTTATTTTTAATATTTGCTTTTATAAATAATTAATTTTACTATTTGATATTTTTTCCTTCTAATTAACTAATTGATTGTATATTTTTTCTTCAACATTTAAAAAGGTGCAATTAAATTGGTTATGAAGGTGCATCAGACTTAGGTTCTGGTTTAGGAAAGTGCATTAATCTCTCAAATTTAACACTTAATCTTGAGTAAAACCAGTTTATTTATTTTGGATTGTGATATTTTTATTTGTAAAGCTAACTTAAAACAATAAAGCTCTTTTTTCTTTTTATTTATTTTGTACTTGCATTTTTTGTTCTTTCTTTGTTAATTTAACTTTTATTTTATTTTCAATATTTGCTTTTATCATTAATTAATTAATTTTATTATTTCATATTTTTTCTTCCTTTTTCCCTTCTAATTAACTAATTAATTGTATATTTTTACTTCAATATTTAAAAAGCACCAATTTAATTGGAGATAAAGGTGCATCGGACTTAGGTTCTGATTTAGCATAGTACATTAATCTCTCAAATTTGACACTTAACCTTAAGTAAAACCAGTTTATTTATTTTGGATTGTCATATTTATTTATAAAAGCTAACTTAAAATAATAGATCTCTTTTTTTATTTATTTATATTTAGCTTTTATTTTTGTTTTTCCTTTGTTAATGTAACTTTTATTTTATTTTCAATATTTGATTTTATTATAAATTAATTAATCTTATTATTTCATATTCTTTCTTCATTTATCGTTTCTAATTAACTATTTAATGATATATTTTTTCTTCAATATTTAAAAAGTGGAAATTATATTAGTGATGAGGGTGTATCAGGCTTAGGTTCTGCTTTAGCAAATTGCGTTAATCTCTCAAATTTGATACTTCATCTTTGGTAAAAATAGTTTATTTGTTTTGGATTATGATATTTTAAAAAATTAAAATGAATATAAAATAAAAAAGCTCTATGAATTTATTTGATTTTTTTAAAAATCCTTTTATTTGACTAATTTTATTTTATTTATTAATTTTAGAATTAATTTTTAATTTAAAAGTTTATTTTACTTAAAATTTATTTAACATTTAGCGCATTTTTTATTATAACAGTGATAACTTAATCAATATATCATAAAAATTCAAATTAATAAGACAGTATTTTAAATCAAAAAGATTAGTTGTTTTTAAAAAATATATCTATTGATAAACAAGTAATGAAAAAAGGATAAATAAATATTAAATGTTTGAATAATTGAATATTATATGTTTTATAATAGTTTGAAATAATTTTTTTAACCTAAAATAAATATATAGAGTTAAATTTTATTATGGATTTTATATTTATAAATATCATATTTTTGGTAAATTAATACACACTGTAGGCTCTTAGTAATTAACACACAATTTTTTTTTGAAAATTTTTTTTATTAACATCCATTTTTATTGATGGATAAAAAATTTAATAAAAAAATTTTGATTAACAAACAAAAAGCTATTAATGTTTATAATAATTTTAGTGTTTATGAAATTTATCATCAATTCAGTTTAAACATCAATCTTTAGAGGATAGTCATATAAATATTTTTTTGTCTATTAGTCTTTTTAATTTCAGACAATTTTTTTTTATATTCAATTTTAGTTATTCACTTACTTAATTAGCTCTTTTAATATGATATTAATAAATACAAAATTATTTAAAAAAGCGTTTTTGCAATCTAATTTTAAAATTACAAAGTTGAAAATGTATAAAACAAACTTTACAATAAAATTAAATTAAATGAAGGTAGAATAATTTAAACTAAAAGAAATAATAAAAGTTAAAATAATTTTTATAAAAAGAATATTAATCTGTTTTACTAGATATCGAAGACCAAATTATTAAGATTGATACATTTATTTAAAGCAGAATTTAATCTCGATATACCTTCATCACCAATTCTATTGAAACTTTTTATATATTCAATAAAAATAGGTAAATTGAGTAAATTAAAAAAGGACATGAAATAATAAAAATAAATTGTTAAATTAAATAATAATTTAAAAATCAATTTTAAGTTGATCAAAAATAATTCAATAAATTAAAGAAAAATTAATGCAAAAGAAAAAATAAAAATCAAGTCAATTTAATTTAATTTATAAATAAAGTTTAATGATGAGATTTTAAAAACAATCAAGCCAGCTAATATGTTTAGCTTACCTAATATTGAGACTCAAATTTGATAGATAAATGCAGCTTAATAAAGAAGAAGCTAAAGCAGAGGCTCCTTCTTCCATAATTTTACAATATCTGTTTTATTAATAAAAATATTAAAGCTATTAAAAATAATTTGTTTAAATATTTAATAGGAATATTAAAGAAATAGTTTGACAAAATTATAAATAACCAATATTTACATTAGATTGAGTGTTAAATTTGAGAGATTAGTGCAACTAGACAAAGCAGCAGCTATGCATTTTGCTCCTTATGCACCAATTTAGTTACTTCTTTTTATAGATTAGAAAATATTTCTTTCTAATAATCAGTAGCATTAGAAATTTAAAATTACCAAAATAAAAAATAAATGTAAAATAAAATTTAACAAACTTAAATATAAAAAAAAATAAATGAAAAAAGATAATAAATAATAAACAGAATTTAACAATTTTAATTCATTTTTAATAAGGATAATTAAAAACAAATATTTTTTTTACGTTAGTTGGAGTGTTAGGTTTTAGAGATTAGAGCATTTTGATAAACCAGAACTTATACCTTATGCACCAATAGGCCCAATTTAATTTTATCTTATTATAAATTTAAAAAAAGAAAATGAAGTAAATAAATAAATAAATTAAGAAGAATTTTAAAGTAAAACCAATAAATCACAAATATAATATTGAGAAATTAAATATCTCACTCAGTTAATGAAAAATAGTTTATTTTTACGAGAGACAAATGGTCAATTTTTTGAGATTTGGGCAGTTATTTAAATATAAAACTAAACCTGGTGCTCCTTCATCATTAATATAATTACTCCTTTATATAAATTTAACAAAAATATTTTAATTTATTTTTAATAAACTAAAAGTTTTTAAAATGACAAAAATAATTTAAAAGTAACTTAAAAACTATTAAAAATAACAAATCAGGTAAAAAATTATTAAAGAGAATTTAATATTTTTAAATTAAAATAAATTTTTGCAATAAAATATTAATAAACTATTTTTACGAAAGGTTTATTGATAAACTTGAGAGATTAATGAATTTTTATAAAGCAGAACCTAAGTTTGATGCACCTTTATCCTCAATATCGCAACCCCTATTATTAATTCAAGATAAATATTTTAACTATAATTATGAAGAATATTAAAAAATAAAATCATGAATAAGTTTTACGATAGAGAACTAAATAATTTTTAAGTAATAAATTTATCATTTAATCATAATAAATGGTGGATAAATGAATACAAAATAGTGTTTAAATTAACAAATTTAGTTAAATATAATTTATATAAAAAATTAAATTATTATCTATAAAATAAACAAATAAAGAAACAATTATCTTACCAAAGATTAAGTGTCAAATTTCTGATACTGGTGCATTTTGTTAATGAAGAGCTCAAACTTACAAGATCATCATCTCCGATTTTATTGAAGCTTTTCCATTTTCAATAGAAATAATTTAATATTAATATTAATTAACATTACATAATTAAGAAAAATAGGGAAAATTTATAAATCGAACAAAAACTTATTATTATTTTAAATGGATATCTTTGTAACATTACATATTAAACAACAATAAAAAAAATATTTTTACCTTAAATTCAAAGTAAAATTTGAGAGATTCCGACAGTGTGTTAAGGCAGAAACTAAGTCAGATGCACCTTATGAACAAATTTTATTTGATCTTTTTAAAATTAGGTTAAGAAAATAAGCTAAAGTTGGTAAAAGGAAAGAAAATATTAAATTAGTAAAGAGAAGTTTTAATTATTATTTTAAACGGAGCATAGAAGCAAGATCTAATGAGAATAATAAATAATTTTTTACAAGAAATCAATTTTCAAATTTATGAGATTAGAGCAGTTCATTAAAGCAGATGCTAAATCTGAAGCACCCTTAGAGCTTATTTAATTAGATCTTTTTTAAATATTTATTATAATTAATTAGATCTAATGAAAAAATTTAAATGAAATATTATTCAAAAAATAAATTTTAAATGAAAAATATTTTAGCGAAAACTTAATCAAAAATAAAAGTAAAAATTTAAAAAAAAATAATTCAACAAAAATAAGTTAATATTTTTTACAAGAGACTGAGAGCTAAATCTGTGAGATTAATATTGCTTGATAAAAAATTACATAAACCTAATACACCTTTATCACCAATTTAAGTTTGCCTTCCATTCATTAAGGATTAATGTATTTTATTGGTTTACAAATAAAAAATAACAAAAAATAAATTTAGAAAAAAAGTTAAATATAAATTTTATAATAGATTTAAAAAGCCATAAAAGATGCTTGAATAATAAAAAAGCTTTAAAAGAAAATATTTTTGATATATTTATGTAAATAGACAAACAATGAAAGTAATTAAAAATAAAATTTTTACAACATTTTGAGTACGAAATTTGTAAGGTTAGGAAAGTTTGATAAAGCAGTGCCTAAGTCTAATAAACCTTAGTCACCAATTTAATTATCACTTTTAATTAAAAAATATTTAATAATCATTAAATAAACTACTTAAAATTAAAAAACCGATAAGATCAATAGATTATTAATTACACTTTAAAAATTAAAAATCAGTTGAAAAAATTAAAAATCAACTTAAAATCAATCAAAAAGTTAAAATAAATTTAAATATGTAAATAAATATATTATCCAATTAATTAAAAAAGCAAATAATCGATAAATCTATTCGTTTTACCTAAGATCTAATATTAAACTTTATAGATTAGTACATTTTTATAAACGAGAAACTATACCAGATGCACCCAATGCACCAATATTATTATACCTTTGTACATATTTAATATATTAATAAGTCATTTTTTCATTAAAAAACTAATAAATCATTTTTTTAAATTAAATTTAATAATGAGATTAAAATTAAAATAGAATTCTAAAATGAATAAATAAATAAACAAAATAAAAAGATATTTAAATAGTAGGTATTTAATATTAGAATAATAGAAAATAGATTTTTAATGTTTTAAATAAATAAAGAAATATTTATGCAAAGAAAAGTATTATTAAATTCATTGAATTAATAGTTTTTACCTCAGATTAATTTACAAATATGAGAGATTAGTACAGTTGGATAAAGCATAACCTAAATCTGATGCTTCCTAATCATTGATTTTATTTTTCCTTTTTTAATAAATAAATGTATCATAAATAAGTGTATTGGTTTATTGATATTTTAAAATTTGCAACGATTGAAAATCAAAGAATATCTTTTAAGTTAAAAAGCACATAAAAAATTAGAAATTAATTAAAGGTAAAATATAATAAAAATGTGTTAAAATTTTTAAAATCGTTATTTACACAATATAAATTTAAAGAAATAAGAATAAATATTTTTACAAGAGTTCTAGAGTCAATCTAAAGAGATTAGAGCATTTTTCTAAAGCTGAAATTAAGTACTATACACCCTAAGTATCAATTTGATTATAACTTTATCATTTATTATATTGAATATTAATATGTAAATTAATAATTAAATATTTTAATTGTAAAAAAATATAAATCAACAGAAAGAGTCTTTTTGTGAAGAAAATAAAAAATGTTTGAATAATATAAATTAAAATAAATTATTTATTTATTTTTAGTTATAATCAATATATTTTTAATTAATTTTTTTTTGATGTAATGAATTTTATTTACCTAAAATTTATTTCTAGATCAGTATGAGTCTAAAAAGAAGAACTTAGCAACTTTAATAATGTGAAAAATAAATTAATACTATAAATGAGAAAATATAAAATTACGTCTTCAAGCTTTTTCAAGTATTTTTTCTATTATAACATTAAAGATAACTTATTTTATTATTTATTAACTTTCTTAATTTTTAATTGATTAAATTGCAATTTAATTTTATCTCAAAGATTCTTCTCTATTAAAAGTAAAAATTACAAATAAAATGTAAATAATTCTTTTATTTAAATATATCTAATAAATTAACTATTAATATAGACCATAAAATTTATTAATTTGAAATAATCATTTTATATTGAAAAATACAATCCCTCTTTTTAGATATATTCATAAATATAAATAAATCTATTTATCTATATTTTAGGTTAAATTATCTAAATACAATATATAAAATAATAAAACATATTATTTTCTATTATTCAAATAATTAATATTTATTCATTCTTTTCCTCAGTTGTTTATCGTCAATAGAAACATATTTTAAAGACTACTAATCTTTTTGATTTAAGACACTTGCTTTTTAGTTTCAATTACTATGATCCATTGATTTAGTTTTCACTTTTATAATATATTAAATTAAAATAAAATACTAAAAAAAATTAAATAGAATAAAATTATTTAATTAAAAATTATGATTAAAATTAATAAAAAAAAAAGATTAACAAATTAATAAAGAAAAAGATAAATAAATTTAATAAATAAAAAAATATCACAATTCAAAACAAATAAATTGTTTTTACATAAGAGCAAGTGTCAAATTTTAGAGACTAGCACAATTTGCGAAAGCAAAACCTAAGCCTGATGCACCAATAGCTCCAATTTAATTATATCTTTTTAAATATTGAAGAAAAAATATGAAATAAAAAGAAATGAATTTATAAATAATAGAAGCAAATTTTAAAAATAAAAAAATAAGTTAAACTAAGAAATATAGAAGAAGAAAAAATGTAAAGACAATAAAAAAGAAAAAGTTAGGTAAATCAAATAAAAAGCTAATAAAAAAATTAAAAGAGCTTTATTATTTTAAATTCATTTTTATAACTAAAATTATCACAATCCAACATAAATAAATAAACTGAATTTACCTAAGTTCAAGTGTCAAATTTGATAGATTAATGCAATGTGTTAAAGCAGAACCTAAGTCTGATGCACCCAAGTCACCAATTTAATTATCACTTTTTAAATATTGAAGAAAAAATAAATAATAAATTAGTCATTTAGAAGGAAAAATTGAAGAAAAAACTTAAATAATAAGAAATGAATTAATAAATAATAAAGAAAAATGTTAAAAATAAAAAGTGAGTTAAATTAAGGAAGATACAAGAAAAATAAACACAAGTATAATAAAAATGAAAAACAAAATAAAAAGCTAATAAACTAATTAAAAGAGCAATATTTTTTAAAGTTCAATTTTAAATGTAAAAATATCTTAATTCTAAACAAATTAACTGAATTTACCCAAGATCTAGTGTCAAATTTGAGAGATTAACGCAATTTGCTAAAGCAGAACTTAAGCCTTATGCACCAATTGCGCTAATTTAATTGTAACTGTTTAAATATTGAAGAAAAAAATAAAAATTAATTAGAAAAAAAATGAAGAAAAATCATTAAATAGAAATTAATTAATAAATAATAAAAGCAAATGTTGAAAATAAAAAATGAGTTAAAATAAGAAAGATAGAAGAAAAATATACAAAATTACAATAAAAAAGAAGTAGAAAAGTAAATCAAATAAAAAGCTAATAAACAAATTAAAAGACCTATAAAAATATCATAATCCAAAACAAATAAACTGAATTTACCTAAGATAAAGTGCCAAATTTATGAGATTGATGCATTTTGCTAAAGCAGAACCTAAGCCTGATGCACCTATTGCACCAATTAAATTTACACTTTTTAAATATTGAAGAAAAAATATAGAATTAATTAGTTTTTTAGAAGGAAAAAATGAAGAAAAAACATGAAATAATAAGAAATAAATTAATAAATAATAAAAAGAAATGTTAAAAATAAAAATGAGTGAAATTAAGAAAGATATAAGAAGAAAAATACAACTAAAATCAAAATCAAAATGAAAAATAAATCTAATAAAAATCTAATAAACAAACTAAAAGAGTTAGATTGTTTTAAGTTCAATTTTATAAGTAAAAATATCAAAATCCAAAACAAATAAACTAAATTTACTTCAGGTAAAGTGTCAAATTTGAGAGATTAGTGCAATTTACTAAAGCAGAACCTAAGCTTATTACACCTTAATCACTAATTTAAGTCTAACTTTTTAAACATTGAAGAAAAAATATTACTTAATAATTAATAAGTTATTTAGAAGGAAAAAAATGAAGAAAAAACATGAAATAATAAAAAATGAATTAATAAATATTAAAATAAAAAAAATGAATTAAATTAAGAAATATAGAAGAAAAATAAACATATGTACAATAAATAAAAAAAGTAAAGTAAATCAAATAAATAAATAGCAAATAAGCAAATTAAAAGATCAAAAAAAATATCATAATCAAAACAAATAAACTGAAATTACCTAAGATAAAGTGTTAAATTTGAGAGTTTAGTGCAATTTAATAAAGAATAACCTAAGGCTGATGCACCATCATTACCTATTTCATTTTATCTATTTAAATATTGAAAAAAATATAAATAAATAAATAATTAGTTAGTTAGTTAGTAGGTAAAAATGAATATAAAACATGAAATAATAAGTTATCAATTAATAAATAATTAAAGCAAATGTTAAAAATATTATAATGAGTTAAATTAAGAATGATAGAAGAAAAATAAACACAAATATAATAAAAATGAAAAAGAAAAGTAAATCAATAAAGCTAATAAACAAATTAAAAGAATTAAATTAAAAATATAGCAATCCAAAACAATTAAACAGTATTTACACAAGATCAAGTGTCAAATTTAAGAAGTTAGTGCAATTTAATAAAGCAGAACCTAAGCCTGAAACACCAATTGCACCAATTTAATTTAGACTTTTTTAACATTGAAAAAAATATAATAAATTATTTAGAAGGAAAAAATAAATGAAGATAAAACATCAAATGAGAAGAAATAAATAAATTAATTAATAAATAAATAATAAAAGTAAATTTTAAGAATAAAAAAATGAGTTAAATTGAGAAAGTTAGAAGAAATAATAAAACAAGTACAATAAAAAAGAATAAGAAAAGTAAACTATATTAATTTAAATTCAATTTTAAGTAAAAATATCACAATCCAAAACAAATAAAATAAATTTACCCAATATAAAGTGTCAAATTTGAAATATTTTTGGCATTTACTAAAGCAAAACTTAAGCCTGATGTACCTTAATCACCAATTTTGTTGGATCTTTTTAAATATTGTAGAAAAATTAGATAATTGATTAGTTATTTAAAAGGAAACAATGAAGAAAAAAACATGTTTTAATAAGAAATAAATTAGTAAGTAAGTAATAAAAGCAAATGTATAAGAAAAAAAAATGAGTTAAATTAAGAAAGATAGAAAAAAAAACAACTACAATCAAAAAGAAAAAGTGAAGTAAATTAAATAAAAAACTAGTAAATAAATTAAAAGAACTATATTGTTTTAAGTTCAATTTTGTAAGTAAAAATAGCACAATCCAAAACAAGAAAATTAATTTACCCAAGTTCAAGTACCAAATTTGAGAGATTAGTGCACTTTGCTAAAGCATAACCTAAGCTTGATGCGCCGATTACACCAATTTAATTGTAACTTTTTAAATTTTGAAGAAAAAATAAAAAATTAATTAGTTATTTAGAAGGAAAAAATGAAAAAAAAAACAAGAAATAAAATGAAATTAATTAATAATAAAAGAAAATGTTGAATATAAAAAAAATGAATTAAATTAAGAAAGATAGAAAAAAATTAAAAACAAGTATAAAAAAAGAAAAAGAAAAGTAAATCAAATATAAAGCTAATAGACAAATTAAAAGAGCTATCAATATATATTGTTTTAAATTCAATTTTATAAGTAAAAATATCACAATCAAAAACAAATAAACTGAATTTACCCAAGGTTAAGTGTCAAATTTGAGAGATTAGTGCACTTTGCTAAAGCAGAACCTAAGTCTGATACACCTTAATCGCCAATTTAATTTCCACTTTTTAAATATTGAAGAAAAAAT